GAAGGGTTTGGTGGCCTTAGAGCGACCATTTTTGCTTACTGAGTAAAACATAATGAGTTTAATCTCAAGCCCCTCCACATTCAATATTTGTTAATGTGAATACATTGGAATCGCAGCCTGCGGCTAAAAATCTGCTAAATAAATAGACAAAAAAAAAACATTGGAATAACAACAAAACTATCATTGGTGTGTTGTTATAAAAGGAGCTCATTTGCCTAGTGGCAAACGTTTTTGCTTACTGAGCAAAAGACCGTGGGTTCAATTCCAAGCTCCTTTGCTTTATAGGATCATTAGGATATCAATTCAGCTTATCGTTTACCAAAACGAACCCTGCTGCAAACCCAACCCTCTTACCCAATATCCCAGTGATTCCTCGTGGAAATGCAGAGGATTTCTCGGCTTTCAACATTCCTACCCTTTCCTTTCTTGACCTGTGTACGGGCGCGGCCGGCGCTGGTATTGCCTAGTTTTAGATGACCAGTTTTTACACATTGAGGATGATTGCTAGTCCCATGCATCGTCTATTGGTTGTCTGTGTAATTACAGCTGGCAATAACAGAGTAGCCGACAATAAATAAATGACAACACTCTAGCGAATCATATGAATAGTGGCAGGAAGCCAGATAAGGCCAAAAGATTACAGGTTTGTCATGCTGCCTGATGAAGGGTAGTAATCTGTTTTGTAGACATTCATTCACATAAACTTTGCCATTCATTGTGTCTCTTGTTATAAATGGTCGAGAATTTTTTCCACACTGGAATATCTCCTGCCAAACCATGATCTTCTTGCCAAATTTTTCGGTGTAAATGGTGTTGATCGATTCAGAAACATCCTTTCCTTTGGGCGAAGTGTAGAACTGCGGTCCTGACAGAATCTGATGATCGAGTTTCACGTAATACTCATCATCCATGATTATACAGCCCGATTTTTCCCCCAGCATTGAGTCGCATAGCTTCCGAGTTCTCGTCTTCACAAATGCAGCCTGCTTTTTGCTTTGTTTTGGTTGCTTCTGCTTCCGATGGGTTTCTAATCCCAATCTTTTCTTGGCCCACGTGACATTTGTTGCCGAAGTACCGATCTTCTTCGCCACATCTCGTACTGATGCTGATGGAACCTTCTTAAAACGATCTCTTCCACGGCTCGAAGAATCTTCGAAAGTGCATGATTCTTCCGCATACTTCCGTAATGCGGTTTGTACTGCTCCAACGCTCACACCCTCATCCTTAGCCAGTTTTCTTTAGGAAAGTCCACTCACGGTACACCTTTTGTGCACATCCCGTTTCACAACGCATTTTCACATTTCCTCGCAAAATATATATAAAAAACTGACAACGTGTTAGAGTAGGATGTAAACATCAGGATGCAGCCAGAATTTTGTGAAATATTGCACGCAGTTTGAAATGACGGTTCATCGTTAGTGCATAAGTGTTACTTCGAGGGGACATGGTGAACGGTGACTGGCTACTTGACGGTATTTATTTTTTCAGTAAGTGATGATAATCTATTACGAATCACTGTGATAGCTGCTAAGCAACCCGGTTCACGGTTTTGCAGCTTTGTTGATCATTTTTGATAAATCCTGGCGAAAAAGTTCATTGCAGTTTTTGCTTTAAATTATACTTTAACATGTAGAACCCTCCCCTTGGCTAGTTTTTGCACCTTGCTGTTGGTGGGCGGGCTTAATTTCATGCTTTATAGTGGAGTGTTGGAGACGGTAGGTTTATGGTCGGCGTTGCTGGCTCATGGCAATGGGTATTACTAAGCTTCCCCTCTCTGATAAACCACTGCATGAGAGAACCAAAGATCTAGTCTAGCAGTGATAGTATCACACTTGTTACTCCTTTAATTGAGAGCCGCGTCGTAGTACGCTTACGTATACGCACTGACGTTGGGTGTGATACTGGCGGGTTTTGCCGAAAATCACACTTATTTCATTTATTTTTACGCAGATAGATTTATTTGGGTTTGCAAGGGAATTATACTATTGGAATATTTCAGAAAGTGCCCTTCTATTTGCGTGACAAGCTTTCATTGTTGTTTTCATTGAAGTATTACTCAGGAAACAATGTTAAACATCATTTTTGTACATGGTATTGTAACTAATCTTATATGTGCTTCATTTTGATTTGGGATAAGTGTTTGAACTATGGCTCGGGATTTCCACTGTGGCGTGCTTCTATTGTGACATACCCATACGTATTTTTGTGGTGCGACATAGTGGAAGCGTGTGAGCATAGTTGGAGCATATACCCTCTATAATTTAAAAATCAGCTAGGAAAATAACTTCAAAATGAAGCATTTTAGTCACATGAAGGTGTTACCTGGGTCGAACTAAGATATAATAAATAGGTATAGGCCAAAATCAAAAGTACTTGAAACACGTTTAATTTTAGATTACAAGCACAAGTTCAGGTACTTAATAAAGCTCGGGTTATGATTGATTAGGTGAATTAGAGCTTTTAATAATTTATTAAATTAGACTAATGAGATATCATGATCATCAAATGAACTTAAATAAGAAACTTCAGAAAGTCTAATGGCATTAAGTAGATTAACAAAAGAACTAGGATGCGGGGGGTCCGCTTAGGGGGGCAACTAACCTTTAAAGTTGTAGAATAAATCTTCTTATTTAGTCTTGAAATTTAATAAGAAAACGCAAGCAGACCAATAGCATTAAGCAGATTAACAAGGAGAGTAATAGTTTAGGAAATAAGTAAAAGTAGAGGTATGTTACAATTAATAGCTTTTAAACTTTTGGAGGCATTGTATTCCCCTGAGTTTGTTGGACTCGATTACTATATTATTCTCTCAATACGCGAAATCTCTTATTTATGCGGCTAAAGCATTTGAGTTTACTTATTTCTTATTGTTCAAGTACTTGCATTTGCAACAGCAGTCAATGTTAATCTATGAACTAAACCCTACGTAAAATCGATCTTTCCTTATGTGGTATTGATGCATGTTTAACTTTTCGCGGCTGTCGGAATCAACGCGCCTAAGTCTTCTACGGAGCTTACGCAGAAGTGATTCGCAATGCGGTAGAGCTCACCAAAAGTTTTTTTGAGCTTCTGTAGTATAGAATTGGTTCGGTACGGTTGTGAAATCTTGAAATGATTGATACGTGCGGTAAAATAACTAAATTGAAACAAATCTCAACAGTAAAATAAGTAGAATATTTAGGGAGGAAACCAAAATTAATCAACTTGCCAACATAGGCTATCACATTTATTTTTGTGGCACTCTTTAAGTGATAATAAGCTGTTTTTTTTCTCTACGGTTGTTTCGCGTGGCGTTGACAATTTGCGCGATTTTCGTATCTTACGTAATTTAGATGTTTAGCTCTAAACGGTTTTACTGACTCGAGGTCGTTCCTTAAGCGGTGTTGGTACAGGTTAAACCTTTGCCGACTGTCGGATTCAACGCGCCTACGTCTACGGAGCTTACGCAGAAGTGATACGCAATTCGGTAGAGCTTGTCAAACGCTTTTGAGCTTATGTAGTATAGAATTTGTTCGGTGCGGTCGCGAAATCTTGAAATGATTGATACGTTCTTTAAATTAACTAATTTGATACAAAGCTCAGTAGTAAATAAGTAGAATATCTAGGGAGGGAACCAAAATTAATCAACTTGCCAACATAGGCTATCACATTTATTTTGGTGGCACTCTTTGAATGATAATAAGCCTTTTTTCTCGCTTCGGTTGTCTCGCACGGCTTTCGTTATTTGCGCGGTTTCCGTAACTTACATAATTTAGATATTTCGTTCGAAACGGATTTACTTATTCAATCGGTTTGCTACGCGGATGTATCTACGCGCACACGTCACAGCATTCTAACTATCTTGCAACAATACATAGGGTTAATTACCCCATTTCCGGCCTATTAAGCAGAACTCGCACTTAGTATTTCTTAATCTAGCACAGTTTAGCACCAAACGGAATGTTATTATCACTGATGGCTTCCAAATTTATTTACCTTTCCGTACGTACCGTAAGATTTGAAAAAATAAATCAATCGTTGAGATATTGTCAAAATTCTAACACTGCTTCTTGACGCCAAACTCGGCCTACGGATTCTAAAGTTGGCCTAACGCATTAAAACGCCATTGAAACGCCAATGAATTCACTTCGGCCTATCGGATGAAGATAAAAATTGATTCGGTCGGAGCGCTTCTTTTGTTTTTGGGAATAATGGGTGCAAACCTTCATATCACGCGTTCTCATTGACTTCGTTCCGTAGCTTATTAACTAAAGTATCGTACCAAATGCATAATTGACTTGTTAACTCTGAAATCATGGATTTATTTGAAGTTTTCTGCTCGATAGCCCCAAAATGGGCCAATAGGCCGAAGTAGTTCTCTACCCTACGGAATCCAGTGTTCAAGCGGCCAACATAGGCTAGTCCTTCTGCTGTATTGTCAAAGATAGAAGCAAAATTTATTCAAATGGGTCAAGTCTTGAAAACTAAGCTGTCACGCAGCTCCAGCTTGATACCCAATAAAAAAATATATATACTTTAACATGTAGAACCACATTACCCCCAAAATATCCTGGGACCATTCCATGTGTTAGCAACATAAAAGTTGTATCAGAAGATCTTGTGAAAATGTACAGAGATAACTAACATCCCTTATAAACGGGTACCATACACAAACGATATCATATATGGTGCAACCATACAGCATTTAGTTGAGATGATATCCTGAATTGGTGGTTATTTCAACAGCCAATCAACTATTGAACTCTCATAAACCCCAACTCATATGATTTTCTGGTCGCGTTCACTGCATTGCTCGTACATTATTCGTTTTGTTGAGTATTCATTCATTGGCGGAAAGATCGATCGCATTTTATCTCCGCTGTTCGTGATATGTTGAAAGGTTACGACCAACAACTATTCGTCATGCTTTGAATATTATTGCCATTTCCGCATCGATGCTACCTTGCAATTCTTTTTTAAACTGTGCCTCCTCTATAATGGTTGCTTTTCTCTTATTGCAGATTAAGCCACTGTACAGCACCTACCAGAAAGACTTATCCAACTCGCTGTGGGAGCCGTTGAATACATTTTGGGCCGAGTGCTACGAGTCGTGTAAATTTTCGTCTCAGCGTCGCGCCAAGCTGCAGATGGAGAGCCGTCGGAAGTTCCAGGTAAGCTATTATAGCCTATGCAGTGACGATGTATGTACATATGTTGGCGGTTGTTGTTGATGATGATTGATTCCTACCAAGTTTGTTACATCAATTTATTTCTATGCATATTATTACTCTGCAGGAGAAAATATTGATCCCATGCCGAATACGGCAGTCGGAGGAACTTGCACGAATCAACGTGCAGCAGACTCAGCGCAAGGCTAAAGATGCACACATTGACCGTAGGTGGCGTATATTGAAGCGGTTTTTGTACGGACCGAAGGGAGCGTGGGCCAAACTGTGAGTAGCTCTTTCATTACCAGTCTCGAATGTCTTCGCAATCGGTGCATTAATAGGATAACTCAATATCACAGATACATTTCTTTGGAATCTTACATAGATACTTGAGAAACGTATAAGAAATTTCGGATTGATAATTCACAAAACTGTTATGTTTCCTTTTCATCGTCATGAAGCTGCGTTTTATCGTTCGTGATTGATTGAGCTAATAACACTAGAATAACACTTAAGTCACACACACAGTCAAACAGGAGAGCAAACGTGTATGATTATTACACTGCTCGTCGTAAGCATGGGTGATATTTTATATGGTACGTTTACATTCTTTGAGCGATTATGTTACTATTTACACATGAATGATTCTAATTGTTTGTGTACAATGTGTACAAGTTTTTGTTTAAACCGTTTATCGTAGTCCTGTTGCGGGGCAAAGGTCATTTCCACGCAGAATATGTTGTGATTTTCAAATGATTGATCGGAGATTTATCTATGCAATCACAACTGATTCATATGGTGTTGCTTATCTGAATTTTTAACCAATGATGGCCTTTCCATAGGCTGGATATCCGACATGGGCAGCTGGGTAACCGGCAACATGAGCAGCTGGGTAGGCCAGAGGGGCTGCGAACTTGGCAACTGGGGCAACAGCCTTGACGCCAAGTGGTTCACGGTGTACAACGGCGTTGAATCCATTGACTGGATCAGCAGTATATTCAACAACACGACGGGTGCCATCGGGTTCGACCAGAGCGTACGATCCAGTGACAACATCTCCGTTGCGAGATTCCTGCTGTTCCTTGTTGTCTCCGGTCAGAGCATCCTAGAATATAGATAATTGTTAAGCTCTGTTGCCATCATACAGCTTAAGTCCTTACGGCAATGTGGTAGCTGTAGCTGTACTGTGGGTTTGGATCATAATCATCGACGGCCTTAGCGAGGACCGGGGTGGCAATCTTGGCAACACCGACGGCTGGGTAGGCAGCCGGGTAACCAATGGCGACGGCGTTAGCGACGGCCACGATGGCGGCGAAGACTGCGAACTAAAAGAAATACGAATCACGTGATCAGTTTTGCCAAATAGGAGTTTCAAACAACAATCTTACTTTGAATGCCATTTTGGGATCTGTGTGAACTGTTTGACAACCGTATGTTGATTATGTTCTGTTCAGAACTGTCCACTCCTTTTTATAGTCGTTATCTGCTAAAAATTCGCTCACATGGTACGAATGTCATTGCTGTGGCTATATTTCTCTCAATTGGTGTATTTTTTTTTTGTTTCTTTTCTGGCCCAGATCAAAAGTGCGTACCTATGTATCAGTTGCACTTGTGTTCTATCACATGCGTTGAGGGTGCAAGTTCAATCTCACGACATGCACATGGTGCATTTTAAAGGCATAGGCAGATTTTATAAACACAAAATATAACAAATGTGATGTCTGAAACATATCCAATTGCTTTCAGTCGTGTTCAATCAGCGGCGAGTACAAATTCGATCGTCAGCTGTACGGTTGGTCGGCTTTGGTATACTTTATGTGCTTTTTCTTTTAAGCCCACGTACAACAGCAGACAAGGTGTGGTACGCGCCGTAGATGGAACGAGATAGGTAAAGAACGTTAATAAAAAAAATCTGCGAAATTAAGATTATCTTTCGCCCTCCAAGGGAAACTTTACGACCATGCACAAATCGACTGATCAAGCACCGGTTGGGTGATGCAATTATTGAAATTTTTGGCCCTTTGGTGATAATCATTTTTGGGTCAATGTGAAGTTGATTGAGCTATTTGGAATAGATTTACTGCCTATAATCGTAGCTGTTCCATATGTGTGCTACGATTAGGCACAGATGGAGGGCGAAAGATAATCTTAATTTCGCAGATTTTTTTAGATTCATGATTGACTGATAATTGCATCACCCAACCGGTGCTTGATAAGTAAATTTTAAGATAATAACACTATGCACTATCAATTGGTATCTACTTTCATATTGTTTGATCAAATCAAGGAATTTATTCATGAAGAAAAAACAGTGATCTCTCTACAACTTGATATTGAAAGGACAATCGATAACAATCCCATAAAAAAATTTTGGTCGAAATATGGAATAAATTAATTATAAACATAATTAGCAAAATTTGCAAAAATTTCATATTTTAAAATAATTTTAAGTTGACAAAATACAAAAATGCTTTTAATATACTTTAAAATTTACTGAAATGTTAAAATTGGTCACTTCCAAATGGATCAAAATTGTAGAATATCAACTTTAGACACTTGTTTTTAATTAATTTCGTATTATTGTTGCACAGAAAATGGTTCTTAAACATAGGCTGCTCCGCCTTGTTAACTCGTTTAAGATGCCTGATCATATTTAACCACCTGTACAATTATTTCACTGATTGGCTAATGTCGAAAAATAATGTCGCTTGCATCTATATGAGTGCATCTCACCACTCACTTCAAAAATAAACTTAAAAAGACATAACGACCAATAGTTCATAAGGAAAACGAGTGTTGAATCAATATTTAATACCACAACAACCTACACACTAATATTATTTTACAGGAGTTAGTAATTGAATTGTTTGCTGGGTTTTTGAATTGGTGAAAAAAATTCATATTTTCATATATCATCATATGATCATATATAAGATATCAATGAAATAAACAAATTTAATTTTTTGTCATTAAGGTGAATCGCTGTGGAAACCTTATTTCTGATTAATTTCGTTATCACCTCGAAACTTCGAAAGCATAAATATCAGCTATCATAAAACATACAACAATGAAGGTGGTACTAAACGTTTGCTGCAGCCCATCAAACAGGGTGTAGTAATTTCTTGAGCGACATCGCAACGGTTTCAGAGATTTGCGCTCAAGAAAACTTGAAGTGAGAGGGCATATCACATCATGACGGCCATGTTGGAACTCCTCAAGGAATCACCTTATATAAGGTTATCAGAGCAATGTTTGTACAAGTTCGTATATTTTCTGATTTTTGAATTTTTCTTCAAACTTCTGTGGAGATCCTTAACTACTTTTTAAAGTTCTCTTATCTTTTAATAAAAATTCTGTTACGATCAAGGACCAAATAAAAAGAAGAAGCTGCGAAGCAAGAAGGACTCCTGAGAGGTATGACGAACTACAGATTGTTTAAGTGTTCTTCGATGATCTTAAAGTACTTATAAGAGGATCTGCAAACTTAAGTGCTGTTTTTAATACTTCAGAGAAGTTCAGAGAGCTTCGTAGTCGAGCTGCGGTCGAGAACATACACCTGGTTTTCAGGGATCTGATGAGGTCATGAAAGTTCTGAGAGGTTTAAAAGATTTATGAAGGGTTTCAAATACTCAAGTACGTTCTGGAAACTATAGAAATGTTCTGAAAATTTTATAAAACATGGCTTATTTTGAAAAAAAAAAAAAATTCTTTTCGCCAGCATGATTGATGAAATACCGCTACGTGCGATGGTTCGAGTATACTTTCTCATCTTGATGAAATCGGCTGCTTTATGTAGAATGGGTAATTTGGATCTTGGGTACATGAGCATGAGTATGAGCGTGATTGACCGCCCGCGGTTGCTACTCCGTTATTTTCAAATCACCTGTAATAACATAGAGAACCAGTATGTTTGGTCATCTCATGCTTTTAAAAAGGTAATACCAGCGCTAGCCACGTCCGAATGCAGGTCAATTAGGGGATGTGTAGGAATATGATGACGTGATACTCGCTTTGATGGAATCTGAGAAATCCTCTGTACTTCCACGAGAAATCACTGGGAGGTTAGGTTTGCAGCAGAGCTCGTTTTGGTAAACGGTAGGTTGGATTGATGGTGATGTGTTATAAAAACAAAGTGTTCTACGACTCTTGAATAAGAACAGGCATGAGCATAAACCCACAATCTCTGTTACGATCTTCTCAGGATGCAAAAGAGGTTGCTCAAAAGCTTTGCTCATATTATAATACATTACTTTTATCCGAGTCGCACAAGACACGACAAGCAAGCAATGTTTTAAACTCTTTAATATGATCATTTACGGACAGATTTGGAATGGTTTGTACCTGTTTCATATATGTAAGTAATTAATCTCTGATGTGATTTTTTGGCGAATCAACGTGATGATCAATTCTTATTGTACAAACTTGCCATACAAATTGCCATTCTTCGAGGGCGACCCCGGCGTAGTGGTTAGCATCCATATCTCTCACGCCAAAGTAACGAGTTTAAATATCACTCCCGGACAAGTTACAAATGACCCAAGAGCGTTAAAGTGACTATAATTTTAAAAAATTGCCGTTCTTCATTTTTTGTCAACAAGCTAACACCAATTCCTTTTGTTAAGCCCCATATTGAACGGTGACGACGACGGCAACTGTCACACAAAACACAACGAGCAAACAATGTGAGCATGAGTATAGAGTATGAGCATCAGATCCAGAAAAATCTGCACGCATTAATAGGGATTGGGATTAGGGTGCAACATGTGGTGAATCAGTACTTTCAAGGTCAATAACGACGCCAGCAACGTCTTTGTGGGCATTTGGGAAGGGAATGATTGTTAGTTCGATACCCGTTGTTGCAAGAAACCGACTATCTCTCTGCATCGTCATGGTTGTCACAGGACAGGAAGGACTTTTTTGTTAGTGGGAAGGGTTAACTATGTCTGGATTCACATTTGAAATTTAAGCGATCTTTCAACTCAGTAATGTAACGATGCCTGGGATAGAATCCACGATCTTCTGCTCAGCAGTGGCGTCGCCCTAACATCAATCTATCTGCTCCACATCGCATACAAAACAGTTTCAAGGGATACAAATTAGTAAAACTCTGCGCCATTTGAAACTGATTTGAATGTTAACATGACCCCAAATAACGTTTTAAAGTTGTTGATAGGTAAAAAGTGAGGTTACGCAACGCCACTACTGCTCAATAAGCAAAAACAGTTGCCACCCGACAATCGAGCCACTTAAATCACAACAAACTACTACAACCCTTGATGCCCGGAAGCATAAAACTACGAAAACACACTTAGGATTAGTCATCTTTTTTTACACAGCGAAATCCAATTAGCCACAGAACCAAGCATGCATGTTCAATCGTGATCGCGGCATCAATGTTTGTTCCTCAAAACGAATCATGTTTTAACATGAACACAAGCTCAATTCATCACTCGTTTCCTACGTTCCTACGAGAACAGCGAGTGGTGTCAAGGCTGCGCACCGGGCACAGCAAAGTCTCCCACAACTTCGGAGGAACACCGTTCCGGAGGACCTGCCAAACCTGCGGAGTGCCATCCACCTTGGAGCACATCCTCGTGAACTGCGCGGAGTTGGAAGACCTTCGGGCTGCCTTCGGCTTGGAGTCAATCAGCATTCGGAACCTGTTGGGCGACGAGTCTCCGGCAGCAGCCGCCCTCATCACCTTCCTAAAGGAGGCGATCACAATATCTGAGTGTTCTTTGTTTATATTTCCGTTTTGTTGGCCCTTTTGGCAGTTTTCTACACCTTTTCATTATCGCAAGATAAATGTACCACAGACAAGATTGGGAATCCGTCTCCTTATTAAGCTAAAAATCTCTATAATAAAGAAATAAAATCATTCGTTTCCAACCGCACCAACCGAACAATAGATCACGTTTGAGCGAGGTTAACCAGCCGCGTAGCAAAAGTGAATCAATAACAATATGATGTTTCATGTAATGATAATAAATGTAAAAAGCATATGTATCGACAGAGTAACTTGGATCTTAAATACAAACAACAAAGTTGACATGTTCTGGAAACCCAGGTTTTGGTTACCAACTGGAAATATCAGTGTCAGGTAGGTCTCAATGTTCCCTGGATTGGACTAACCTGACAACCAAAATATTCTGGATCTCAAAGCCTTCTGGACATTCAATTTCCCTTAAACTGCCTCCAGAAATCTTCAAACCTGGACCTTAGTCCTTTGAACTCATTAACAAAGTGAACCGGGTTTTCAACGTGCCATGAACGGAACGGATTAAACCGTAAACTATTAAAATTTACAATATGGTAACATTCTCATCTGATATTATCAATTTGTCTATATTGTGTGATAGTCGTTTCAGAAATCTTCCAAACAATTCCTAGAACCGAATAAAAGTTTGCATTCATTTGGTTCTAGTGATCATACTCTAGGGTTGTTAATCAATCTGGCTGCCATGTTTGCAAATATGTTTATTCAATAATTAAAAGTCTTATTGAAAGCGGAAACACTCCTATTGTTGCGGTACGTTAGAAGCGTTAGCTGTGGCTAAGTTTATTAACCTCTCTTTAAACTGTTCCCCTGGTAGAGGAGATTAGAAGCGTTAGGTTCCTATTGTTGTGTATGGCAAAAATAGGAGTATTTCTTCTACATTAAGCGGGAAATGCAAGTAACACGTCAAAAAACTCGACGATTTTCGGATTTTTTTTGTGAGCAAATGAAACAACGCAAACGTTTGGGGTTTTTTGCATTTTCCTCGTGCTCGTAGCATTTAAAGAAAAAAAATAAGGTAAAATAAAAAAAATCGATAAAAAACATTTTTTTACTTGTATTTCCCCCCTTAAGTATGAAGTTAAACTTTTAAGTTGTTGGTTACTGCCGTTTTGTCCTATCAAGTTGTCAAAGTAATGTCTTGTTTACAGAAGAAAAACTAAATTTTTTAAGTACATTATATTTTATTCTGTTTTTGTTTTGTTTTTTTTTGTTAACATCGAAGTATTTACAACACACAAGACCTTCATGGTATCATAAAGTAAACAACGTTCAAATTTGCTAAGGGGATCTTGATCACAAGGCTAGGGGATTTTGTATTCCGTGGTGCATTTCTCAGTACGATGATCTTGGCTCAACCGATAACTGGGTGGGCAAATGGATGAGCGAAGGGGTGAGCGGCGTAAGGAGCAGCGATTTTTGCTACTGGTGCAACGACTTTAGCAGTTAGTGGTCTGCGGTGCACGACGGCATTGAAACCATTAACTGGGTCAGCGGTATATTCGACAACGCGCTGGGTACCGTCGGGTTCGACCAGCGAGTAGGAACCGGTTACAACGTCTCCAGAGCGGGATTCCTGTTGGCTCTTGTTATCACCGGTAACAGCATCCTAGTTTGGGTTGGAATGTATTTACATTTAGCACTACGATATTTTCGATAATAAATCTTCGCTTTCATACCGCAACGGCATAGCTATAGCTGTACTGGGGGTTCGGGTCGTAATCAGCACCTGGAGCAGCAAATTTTGCTATGCCTGGAACTGGGAATGCTGGTCGATAGCCATGAATAGGTGCTGGATATCCAACAGCAATAGCATGGGTCACAGCGATGACTGCTGCTAGGATTGCGACCTGGTTTGAAAAATATGTGAAACCAGATCAATTAGATTTTTGAATGTTGGCAAATTTTTCACTTACTCTAAAAACCATTTTCTGTCTTTGCTCTATGAACAACACTTGACGATTGCATGGTTTATCGAAATTGTCTTTCCTTTTTATATGGCAAAGTTTTACTTCGGTCATAGATCATGTTTCTATTGCATGCACTTCATTCGACATGAAAATAGA